AGCTGGACATGTTATACACATGCTAATTATTAGGACAGAAGCTGGACTTGGAGCACATAGTTTTTTCTGGTTATAGGTGATTTTCCTCCCCTACAACCCATTTTTTCCATAACTATTTGGGTTCTATAAACAGGAGATGGTTCTAGTGAATAGCTGACTAAGGGAAGCCAATAAGAACAGAGGGGTGAATAACTGGGACTTGAACTCTTGATGATCCGCAGGATGAGTCTTGGCTTGAATGGCTGGGCATCCAGTAATGAATAGCTGGCCACTAGCAGACAGGCCTCTGTGGTGACAGACCAAGGCATGTGGATTTCTGTGTGATTCTCAGACAAATCTGCAGATCGCCAAGAATACAAGATCCTACCTGTGATCTCGCGGGCCACATTCTCCCAGAACCAACACCCATCTTAATTAGCTACCTCCCACAGAGGCTGTGAGAACTCTGATTAAGGTCGCTCCCGTCACCTGACAGGAGCCATAGCCGGGATTGACTGTCAGAGCTGAAGGGCCAACGCTAGAGGGGGCAGGAGGTGTAAGAGGTAGTAAGTACTGTGTGGGTTGTGGGTTTGAAACTCACCAGTCAGGAAGTGAGGCCGACAGACGGAAGGGCGGGCAGGGTTGAGGAGTTCTGGGGCACAGCAGAAGGGGCCTTCTGAAGTTTGGGGGCTGGGAGGTCATGGGTTTCAGGGCCAGGGGTGGTTGTTAGTCTGGCGAGCCAGGTCTGTGCAACATGCATGCCCAGAGGCAGTTGGCTCTAGCCACAGTAAGAGCAGAAGTCAGACGACATGAGGTGGCCAAGCAGGCTCTAAGCCGACTCAGGAAGCTAGCAGAGAGAGTGGGTGACCCTGATCTCCGAGATGGCATCCAGGCCTCACTGGACAGCATACGAGGTAAGAGATGCATCAATCCCTAACGTGACTGTTTGGGGGACCAGCAGGGGACACAGAAAGGCTTAACCGTGTCATATCATAACTGCTTGCTGTTCAAGCCGTCACTTCCTAGTTCGTAAGATGGAGCTGGGACTCAGGAAGAGGACGTTTGGGGAGGATGGAAAAAGATGTGGAGGGGAGCCTCATTATTCCCCTTTCCAAAATCGCCTCTGAACAAAATAATAGTCATTGTGGAGTTGACCTTCTTGGCAGTAGAGAGTGGATAAGCGTTGGGGAGACAGGCTGTAACAGACCCATTAGATAGATGTAGTCCCTGTCTGGGGAGTCCAGAACGGGAGGCACTCAGGGGCAGGAGGTTCTGGGACTTGATAATGTATTCATTCCCAGGACCCACTAAAGATCAGGGACCTCTTCTTTCCAGCGGAGAGAAACACACACGCAGAAGGGAGGGGGTGTGATATGTCAGGGACACACCAACACTTAAGCTGCATGCTTTGTATAGCTGCAGTGTGGTGAGGTCCCCAGGACTTGACTCAGTCCCTCTCCTCCTGTGTTCCCTTTTTTGTCTTCCCCTCACCTCCTTGGTGCCTTCCGTTCTACCTCCTTAGTGCCATTAGAGTAAGTGATGACAACACAGGGAGGAAGTGCTGTCATGGCAACACCATCCGCCACATCCTCCTTGCCCACTGTAGCCTTGGATCCTGTGGTGGGGCCCTGGCAAGCCTGTTCTCCCTCCACCAAGGGCCACTGTGGAGGAACTGGGGGATCTGTTTATATTTCATCCATCTGTGGATGCCCAGGAACTCACAAAAGCAAGCTTCCTTGCCTGTGAAGTGTGCCTGGCAGAAACCCGTATTTATCATACCCTGGCCATTCCAGTTATCAGTCCTCTCCATTCTCAGCAACTTTTCCATGAAGGAGATGTTAAAAAAAACATTCCATCAAGGACACCTCCTGACACCAGGGTACAGTTTAGAGGAAGGATGGGATGGTTTAGGATGTGGTGGGATAGTCCCATTCCCTTCTCATGCCTCTCTCTCCTCCTTGCTCTTCTGAAGCTAGTATCATTCAGCTTCTGCCCGCACCCAACCCTTTGACAGGACAACAGCTGTGTCTCCTCTGATATCCCAGGTAATGGAAAAGGAGACCTAGTAGGACCACCCAGGGAAGAACTCTAGATCCTACCTTCGTCGGAAGTAGAGTGGGGTTGGGACCAGGCAAAGACACTCCCTTAGTTCTAGAAAAGGGGAGAACTAGTGAGATAGGGTACACCAGTATTCCTAGCACTATAGCCTCAAGACTCGGGTGAACAGAGCAGGATTAAGAGTTCTAGGGCAGCCTGGATTACATAGCAAATCCTAAACCAGCCTCAAACTCAACTACATAATGAACAACTATTGGGAAAAAAAAAAAGTCACAAGAAGGAGGGGCAAAGAGAGACTAGTGGGAGGCAGAGTAGACCTTTACCCCATACTTCTGTGTGAGGTGTGTGTCGGAACCCAGGGCCTCCATGCGTCCTGTGTGCCAGGCAAGCTCCACCCCTCTACACCTCAGCCCCACACTAGCTTTTGTTTTGTTTTTCCTTTTTGAGACTGGGTTTGGATCCTACTGTCTGTCTCTGGCTAGCCTTGAACTCACTGTGTAGCTCAGGCTAGCCTTGAACTCACTGTCTATCTCAGGCTAGCCTTGAACTCACTGTGTAGCTCAGGCTAGCCTTGAACTCACTGTCTATCTCAGGCTAGCCTTGAACTCACTGTGTAGCTCAGGCTGGCCTTGAACTCCCAGCAATCTTCCTGCCTCAGCATCCTCAAAAGGGTACACCACCTCACCTGTCAAGGATATACTCTTCATAGGTAACTTGCTCTACCCTGGGTGAGACAGCAATCTGTTCCCACTGAACACAAAGGAAAACTGAGATGCCCCCCCCCAATATTAAGAAGCTGACAATTCCCCCTTATCCTCTCCTTCATGATAGTGTCTCCTGCCTCGGGTGTCATCCTAGTTCTGAAGAGAACTCCCTAAGAAATTGACCTCCAAGATAGGATCTGGGAGAGAGTGGGTACGGGCCTCTGGAGGACAAAGGGCTCCCCACAACCCGGTTCGGCCCCCAACCCTTACCCCGCATCAGGCCGAACACACTGCTGGCTCTTGCTTCCAAGAGCCGCCCACGGCCCTCACTTATTATAGTCTCGGTTGCGTCAAGAGGGTGGAAAGCCAAATCAAAGGACCGCCGAGACTCTAAATCCTGGGCAGGGGTCTCCAAGGCTTCAGGGAGACTTTCTTCCTTCCTGCCCACCGCCCCCCTCCATGGGGACTCAGCCTATCTTCTGCATGGATTTAACTGCTCATGTTTCTCTGCCCCTCTGGAGGACAAAGCCTTGAACTCCAAAGCCCCTAAAGGGGTGGGGACACAGCGCAAATGGTGTCCATTCACTATGCCGCTCCCTTTAACCTGCTCTAAGAGCCCGGCTACATAGACCTCAGGAGACTGAAGGCAAAAACCTAAGAGGCCGGCTCCCACTGCCTCAACTGAGGGGGTTCCTTGTGTTCAGGGAGCAAAAATCTCCCGTAGGTGGGTAACCAGGTGTGAGATAGTGCCTTCACTAACCCAGCGTCCCTTGATTGGTCCCCCACCCATTCTACACACTGATCCCTCCTCTCCGCTTATCCCCGCCACAGCTTCTGAGGCACTCTTGGAGCTACGGTTGCTATGGAGACTAGATGCATTTTGGAATAGGGGGGTGTCAATTGGTAGATGTATTTCTTCCACCTTGAGCTGGGGCCTTTGACTCACGCTGCAGCTTGGGCTCAGGAGTCCTCAAGTCTCTCTCCTCTAGAGAGAGGCACCCCCCCCCCTCGCTTCTACCCTACTAAGTTCCTTGTTTGTCCCCATCCCTGGGGAACACTTTCCAAGTTCACTTTGGGACAATCAGTCCAAGCCGCAGTGCCGTAAAAGTATTCAGTATGGGGTGGGAGTTGGTGTGGAAGAGGGGGCTGGGTGATGAGAAAGGAAATTCATCCAGGTACCCCGAGAAAGGAAAGAACAGGGGTCCTGGGAAGGAATGTTAGGGCTCACAATATTCCGGTTTCAGTTCCCCAGAATTGACAGAGACCAAAAGAGTTTTGTTTCCTGTACCTGTCCAGCCAATAGATCAGTGTTTTTACCTTTGCCCCTAAATGTCACACTCCACATTCGTGTTCCCTAACCTTGGTGTGAGAAAGGAGGGTGCCAGGTAGTTGGCGGAGGTGAATCCAAGACCCAGGAAATCCAGTCCAGGTTTTGGAAGGGAAATCCAGTCCTGGATTTTGTACCGCCCTAGCAGACAGCGGTGCTGGTGGGGGGGGGGGAGATGAGATGGGGGGGCCCGCGGGCCGCCTCCTCCTCAATGTGAGGGGAGCGCCCGGACACAACGCGCATCCGGACCGAGCCGATCCCGGGCGAGGCCCCCCGGACTCTTCGCCAGGATCCACGCCTCTCCCCTCCCAGACCCCAGACCCTTGGGTTCCTACCCCTCCCGTTCCTTCTTTCCTCCCCCACCGCCTCCAATCTCTCCATCCCTAGCATCCTCCCCGTGCTCCAGCGAATCCCCCGCACAGACAGCCCTACTAGTCTCCTATCCTCAAGACCCCCCTTTTCCCACTGCATCCGTGGCCTCTGCCCATTGAGTCGGCATTCCCGCCCCTGCCTTCCCCGCACCCGTGCTTCTCCCCCAGTCCCCTGTCCCCTTTTTCTGCCCCTTTTTTCTTCTTACCCATTTGCCCCCACTACTGTCCTCCCCACCCTCCTCCGCCCATCTCAGCGCCCCCACCCAGGCCGGGGTGCAGGGTCCGGCGCGCCTCCCTGGAGCAGCACCAAGGTCCCGGGGCTCCAAGGGGGTGGGAGCGCAGGGCGGGGAGCATGGGGAGGGGGCGCCCCATGTGATGGGAGGGGGGCGCAAGAGGAGGCGGCGGAGGCGGCGGCGACAGCGGAGCCGGGCTGGGGGCTCAGTGGGGTCCGGGGACTGGGGGCAGCGAGCAGGGCGGCCCCATGGCCGGGCCCCCCTGAGGCAGTCCCGGGGAGTTCCCTCCCCTCCCCAGCTCGGGGGTCTCCGGGCCCCATGAGCCGGGGCGCGGGCGCGCTTCAGCGCCGGACAACGACCTACCTCATCTCGCTGACCCTGGTCAAGCTCGAGTCGGTACCTCCGCCGCCGCCTTCTCCGTCTGCAGCGGCGGCCAGCGCCCCCGGGGCCAGAAGCTCCGAGCCCCGAGATCCTGGCAGCCCCCGAGGCGCGGAGGAACCCGGCAAGAAGCGGCACGAGCGTCTCTTCCACCGGCAGGATGCGCTGTGGATCAGCACCAGTAGCGCGGGCGCCGGGGGCGCGGAGCCCCCAACGCTGTCCCCGGCTCCGGCCAGTCCGGCTCGCCCGGTCTCCCCGGCTCCGGGCCGCCGACTGTCCCTCTGGGCCGCCCCTCCGGGACCCCCGCTCTCCGGGGGGCTGAGTCCAGACTCCAAACCGGGGGGCGCCCCCTCTTCCTCCCGACGCCCTCTACTCAGCAGCCCAAGCTGGGGGGGTCCGGAACCTGAAGGCCGGACGGGAGGCGGCGTCCCGGGCTCGTCCTCCCCGCATCCTGGCACCGGCAGCCGAAGGCTCAAGGTGGCGCCTCCTCCACCGGCTCCCAAGCCTTTCAAGACCGTGACCACTAGTGGAGCCAAAGCCGGCGGGGGCAAGGGCGCGGGTAGCCGCCTGTCATGGCCCGAAAGCGAGGGCAAGCCCAGGGTCAAGGGGTCAAAGAGCAGCGCTGGAACTGGAGCTTCTGCCACTGCGACCGGCGGGGGAGGGGGAGCTGCAGTCACGACCTCTGGTGGGGTCGGGGCTGGGGCTGGAGCGAGAGGGAAGCTATCCCCACGGAAAGGCAAGAGTAAGACCTTGGACAATAGTGACTTGCATCCAGGACCCACTGCCGGCTCTCCTCCGCTCACCGTGCCAGCAACCCCAGTTCCAGCCACTTCTGTCACCACCACCTCCACGCAGCCCCTCGGGCCTGCACCCCCTATCACTCTGGAGCCACCAGCTCCAGGGCTGAAAAGGGGCCGGGAGGGCGGCCGAGCGTCCACTCGTGACCGCAAGATGCTCAAGTTTATCAGCGGTATCTTCACCAAGAGCACAGGGGGGCCTCCTGGCCCTGGTCCCCTTCCCGGACCCCCAGGCTTGTCTTCCAGCAGCGGGTCCAGGGAGCTGCTGGGCGCAGAGCTACGCGCCTCCCCTAGTGAGTAGGAAGGGTCAAGGCCGGAGATACCTGAAGGCTTATTTGGGGTTGGGGGAACGCTGTGCAAGAACGAGGGAAGCTTTTCTCTTGAGTGGATGGAGGAGTTAGGTTCGCTTCTCCACCAAGGGCTGGGGCAAAGACTAGGAAGAGGTCCTGAAGCGAGGAGACGTGACAGGAGTGTTCTTGGTGCTTCCTGGAGAACCGTGGCCTTGGTCAATGCTTACTGTAGGAAAGCATCCCACAGAAGCCTCAGACCCCAATCTCAGCCCTGGTTGGAGTCTAGAAGTCAGGCGATAGGGACTTTGCCTTGTGTTGAGGGACACTGGAGATGCAGGGAAGCTAGGAGCCTCAGTTTCCCCAGAGTAATTGACACAGGTGGTGTGGCAGTGACCTTGCCGCCGGTTCCTCGCCAGAGACAGGTTTCCTGGGTTGAGAGCGGGCTGGCGGTTTTTCCAGGCACTGAAGGTGGATTGGGCGGTTCTTGAGTGAGCGGGGGCTGGAACGTGCAGATTTAAATGTGAACTGAAAGGGGGCAGATAGGAAGCCTGGCTTCCCGCACTACCCACCCCCGCCCCACAGCGGCGTCGAAACCAGCTCAGGGCTGACCCCGGAGTGAGTCAGGGGGCGGAACTGCTGTAAAGACAATTCTTAGCCCAGGAGACTTGGGAAGCCATACAAGGAGGTAGCTTTATTTATTTAATTTTTAATTTTTTTTCCTCCCAAGGGGTGCTTTTATTATTTTCTAAATAGTAGAGACAGGCGCGCGGGGGTGGGGGGGGGGGTAGCGACCCACGACTCGGTTCCGCTCACATTCCCTGGAGGGGAGGCGGGTCTGGAAGCGGGGGCGGCCCCGGGGGGTTTGGCTCCTGAGCCGGTGGGAGCAGATGGCTCCGGATCCCCGAGTTCCCGCCGCAGCTGCGGCGCCCCGGGAACGTCCGGCCAGTGTCAGGCGCGGGGGTTGGACCCGGCGGGTGCAAGGAGAATCTTTTCTCCCCAGGCCTGTGGTTTCTCTCTGCCTGGGAACGGAGCCTTACCGTCCCCACACGGTTCTTTCGGAGGCTATGGAGATCTAGGCAAAGGAAAAATCAAAGTTCTGTCTCCCTTGGGCGGTGAACAGGAGTTAGAACTACCTGTGCCACTGACCTTGAAAAAGGGCAGGAAAGCCCTCACCACCTCTTCGCTCCTGTGAAATGGAGATTGAGGGAGACCCACTCCATTCTAGGACTCAGGCCTTCCGCCTTAGGTCTGCTCTGAGAATGTCAGGGGGGGACGGGACCCTCTATTCTATGTGGTGGGAGGAGACTCATCACTAGTAAAGTCGTCCTAATCTGGTCTGGGGCAGGGACCCACGTTTGAGGATGTGTTTTAAGGGAGATGCCAACTGAAGTATTTTCGTCTTGCCAGCTCTGTTGCTAAGCAACCACTGAGCGGCGGCAACAGCTGTGGAGAGAGTGGCTGGGATGGGAGGACTGGGGACCACTCTCCAGTGCAGGCAGGGTCTGAGGGGTTAGGTGAAGCCCTCAGAAAAGAGAACGCCTGTGGGCTGGAAGTCCTCCTAGGCCACAGTCTTCCTTCTTACTGCACTTTTCCCTTTGCAGAGGCTGTGGTCAATAGCCAGGAATGGACTCTGAGCCGCTCAATTCCTGAACTGCGCCTGGTAGGTAGCCCAGGTCTTTGACTTGCAGGCGAGCTTTACTTCCCCAGGCATGCCCCATTCTCTCCCTTTGCCCCTCTCCTCTCTTTGAGAACCAAGAACGCTCCGAATTGAGTTGAGCAGCATAGCCTTCTTGAGGGGGCTGGCTGCTCAGAACATCCTCACAACTTGTCTTCGTTTTGTCTCTTCCCATTTGTCCAGTCTTCTTCTTTCTAGCATTTTTCTTAAGATTTTATTAATTTATTTTATGTATAAGTGTTCTATATGCCTGTACGCCTTTATTCCATAAGAGGGCGTCAGATTCCCACTATATATGGTTGTGAGCCACCATGAGTTGCTGGGAATTGAACTCAGGACCTCTGAAAGAGCAGCTACTGCTTTTAACCGCTGAGCCATCTCTACAGTCCCGCACTTTTTTTTTTTTAAAAAAAAAACGCTTAGTGTTCTTTTGCTTTAAACAGTAATAAACAGAGTAAAAACTTTCAGCTAATGCCTTGTAGTAGTATACCCTACTACACACGCAGTTTAATGTGTTCAGTGAATAGCTCACACATGTGTGCGCCCCCCCACACACACAAAAGGGTATTGCTTAGCTTGTGGTCTGTTTAAACTTTGGGGTCATTTCTTGCCTGCTCTTCTCAGCTGACCGGAGGCCCTGGAGGGCCTTTTTTGGGTAGCCAGTCCCTGTGGGTTCTCTGGCATGAGCAGACCCGGCATCTTGTTCCACATCTCTCCTTTAGGGTGTGCTGGGTGATGTCAGAAGTGGGAAGTCCTCCCTCATCCACAGATTCCTCACAGGTTCATACCAGGTGCTGGAGAAGACAGAGAGTGAGTGCCCAGGAACCACAGTAAGCTAAGACTGGGGGCCAGGGATCCACCAGTAAGATCCGGGCCTGGGCAGGTACCAAGATGGGACTTGAGGCACAAGAACTAAAGTTGAGGGGATGTGAGAAGGTTCGGTGACTTGACTCAACTCTTCTGGACAGGTGAACAGTACAAGAAAGAGATGCTGGTGGACGGGCAGACTCATCTGGTGCTGATCCGAGAGGAAGCGGGAGCGCCCGATGCCAAGGTGAGGAATGGAGGCGGTGGCTGTAGTAGGCTGGCTGGGATCAGTATTGGACATGGAAGCGTTCTGTCTTGCTAGGACAGCCTCTGAATGGTACCCAGAGGGGATGGGGCCTGTATGACCCTGTGTTTGCCCTCTCATCCCCTGTAAGTTCTCAGGCTGGGCGGATGCTGTGATCTTCGTCTTCAGCCTGGAGGATGAGAGCAGCTTCCAGGCTGTGAGCCGTCTCCATGGGCAGCTGAGCTCCCTTCGTGGGGAAGGACGAGGAGGTCTGGCCCTGGCTCTGGTTGGGACCCAAGGTAAGGAGGGGATATGGAAACCTTGCTTTTAGAGGAGGGTGGGGGTACCTATAAAATATTGCCCACCATGGCTGATAATTTGGCAAGGTGTCAAACTGGCTATTTAGAGTCCAGCAACCCTCTAGAGGGAGCCTGATGTCCAAATAAGGAAATAATGAACCAAACAAACCTCCCAAGGTCTCTGCAGAGAAATGAGGACAGCCTGGGAGGAGAGGACCGCTGTAATGACCATCTCTGGAGATGTTGCCTACCTTGTGTTCTCTCTGCCATTTCTGACGCCATTGCCGTGGGACACACAGAAATGTCAAGTCCTAGTGTGGCTGAAAAGCCTTTCTCGTCAGCTGGGTCAGGCTGACACTGTTAGAAAGGAATTTCTCTACAGAGAGGAAACATGGAGATACTGGAGAAATAAGGAGAGCAGAAAACTTTCAGTTCTCCTAGTAGGAGCTCAGAATCACTCAGACTGTACCGTGCATGGCAGGAGGAGCATTGTCTCTGCCATCGCTGTCCAGCTGTCCAGGGCACTCTGTGCTGGTGCTGATATTGGTGCTGATGCTGTTGCAGGTTCAAGCCTCCGCCTGTCCCTTGCCTCCTAGCTTCTGACTTGTAGAATGAGTAGCCCACCTGTTACATCTGGCATTGAACTTTTCCTCTCACTCAGGTCTCAGGTTCAGTGATTCTCAGGGTGTTTGTCTGAGCCATTGTCAGGAACCTCCACTCAGCTTCAGGAGTATGGCCTGGAAAAATAGACACACACACACACACACACACACACACAGACGGACAGACAGAAAGACACACATACAGAAAGAAAGTCAGACACACACAC